ACAGTTATAGCTAATTGAAATTTTTGGTTATCTCATAAATACCTACCCGGCCGCGGCGTATTCACTTGCACGCTGTACTCGCTCGGACAATTATAATTAAAAACATCCCTCGACTTGTTATGAATTATTTTTGCACCATCATTCTGAAGACGTTGATTTAACTAGGTTAAAAAATTGTTATTTATTATACCTACTTAAGCTAGGTAAACTCATAGGCGCACATAGGGTGTTAATTTAGGGGGTGCTGGGATAATTTATGGTTCACAGATCCGTGGGGGGCAAAGCCCCCACACCCCCCTAATCCTAATATTTCTGCATTGCATTAGATTTAATTTGTACAGTGTATACAATAATTTCTAAAGTGCAATGTATCAAATAGTCTGTATGATTGTAAAGAAGACGCTAGGTACACCCACATGTGTTGTCTTCGTATTACAGACGTATAGGTAGGTACAACATAGGCAAAACTGTTTTGCACGGGTATAAAAAACATTCAGGCTCTACGTCTACTCTAAGCTAAAAAACTAAATGTTCACACTAGAAAAATGAGAAAATTTACTCTGTAACTTTGTTTTTATATTTCCGATATCAAAACCAAAATAAAAGTTATTTATAAGTTTGATAAACAAAAAAAGGTGATCTGCTGTACAGTAGGGTAGAAGTGGGTCACTGTATAATCGATGGTATTAAATTTGAATTCAATGATATACTAACATCATTGTATAAGAAAAACCATTCTGAGTGAAGACGGTTAAGTCAGCCTATGATATTACTAAGTATATTTGATGATACTAAGGTGAATAAAGCAATTTATATATAACCTATTTAAGTAGAATCTTGTTTTAAATTTTCAATCATTAGCTATAAAATTTGAACATTTTATAAATTTTTAACTATAAAATTATTATTAAATTTTAAATGTGATAAATTTTGTCAAAATTTGAATTTTAAATAATTATAAAAAAAATTGTGCCTATGTATTTTTAATATTTTTCAAGTGTTAATGTAACAATATATCAGGAGCTTTGCATTCAATTTTCAAGCTTTTTTACCATACAAATAAAATTTTATTGATATGAATAGAAAAAAAAATTAAAAAAATTGAAAACTGAAAATGTCCGTAAATAGCTCAAAAAGAATCAAAATATTTTCAAAACTATATGGTGTATAGGAAATGCTAATATAAAAATTTAGTAAAATTTTCAAGTATCTACAGTCATTCGTTTTTTAATTACAACAAAATTAGAAAATCGTTACATGAGAAATCGAGTGAATATCAAATGTTGTAAAAATATGAAATTCAAACGTTGATAAAAATTTAATTTGAGATTTTTGTAGACATTTTTTTTTTGATAAAGGTAGACAAACTTATGAGGAATCTTGCATTACATTTTCATATCTTAGATTTAAAAAGAAAAATTTTTATGAATTTCTAACTCGAAATAATTTGCAAATTTTGGTCATTTTGTAGTATTTTGTTAATATTTGGAATTTAAATGCTTATAACAAAAAACTGTGAGTAAGGATTTTTAATATTTTTCATCTGTCTTTGAAACAATATATTAGGAGCCTTCTATTAAATGTTTAAGCTTTTATACCCAACAAATAAAATTTTATTGATACTTATAGAAAAAAAAACTAAAAAAAAAGGAAACTAAAAATGTCCGTAAAAAGCTCAAAATAACTCAAAATATTTAGAAAATTTTATCATGTATAGAAAATGGAAATATAAATAACCAGTGAAAATTTCATAAATCTACGGTCATTTGTTTTAAAGTTACACCAAAAACCAAAATCAATTTTCTCGAAAATAGATTTTGCGTAAAAATTCCCGGTTTTCCTTAATTTTTCTTTTGTTTTTCACGGCGCTTTTGAAAACTACTGTGAAATTTTTGCTTTTGACCCTCCCAAAGTACCAACTAGATTCACTTTCCTATCAGAAAAGATATTGTTGAAGAAAATCCAAGCACTTTTACTGTCCTAAAAGATGATGACAGACAAAAAAAAAAAATGAATTCGTGAATTCGTAAACAGTTGTCAATATTTGTAATGAAAAGAAAAATTCCGAACCAATAAACCACGATAGTTTATAAATGATTGGTGAAATACTGAAATAAACTGAGGGTGCTAGTTTGAAGCTTGGGGGTGCTAAGCACCCCCAAGCACCCCCCTATGTGCGCCTATGGGGGTACATGTAACGAACATGTCGTCATCGACATCGTACATTACTCCTAGTATGCCGAGTAAGGAAAAATATTAAATATATATTATGCTGACGCGATGTTTAGCTGACATCACGTCAATAACCGACCAGAACTCCTGGCGAAAAATAGTCAAGAGTGAAGAGTGATAGTGAATGGTCGACAGTAGAAGTCGAGAGCGGACAACGATCAAAAGAGGACCTGTGGACGGCCAGCTCACCCACCTCGGATAGCAGCACCCACGACAAGTCGACACCACATAGCTCCACCAGTGACCCTCAGTGAAGCTAATCTATAAGTATACCTATCTAATAATTATATTTTAATGTTCTTATATTGTAAGATTTGATTTTAATAACAGTTACAAAATTATATATATACTTGAGTACTTGCTTTACATAAGCTAACCCTGATCCCTAGCAATAATGTCACACACCGAGGTCGAGTTTCCGAGACCTCGTTAATATAAAACAGAACTACACCGAGGGGTGCGACCCCCAGGTGAAGAGGAGACGTTACAATAATAATAACATATTATGATTTTTACCCCTTTGTACAGTTTTGACTTAAGAAATAAAAATAATAATTTGTAAATTATAGATTTAAATAGAAATTAAATACTGTTTGAGTTAGATAAAATTATATGTCAAACTCTCAAAAATATTATTCCTTAAACTTGTTGTTATAGATCTGAGAAAAACCAAATAAAACGCTATGCATAGGCGTAATTAGGGGGGGGGTCAAGCCCAAAGTTTTATCTGTAGCTCCCCCCCAGTTTATAATCATATTTTGGTTTAAAATATTAATTATCAAGGTTTGTGCTGCTTATACAGTTCTAGCCCTCCCCTCACAAAAATTTCCTTAGTTGCGCCTATGTAGCACATCCGGACGCAACAGTAAAAAAAAACCATGCAACATAAAGAGATAGCGTGAGTGCGTTGTGCGTAGCACAGTGGCGTAATTAGGATTTCGTCTTAATACTTCATATTATTATGTATTTGATATTTATTTTATTCAGAATTCAAAGACTAGAGAGGTGATTAACGTTATTATTATAGACATAATATTATGTTCTAAAAATGTTATTCTAGTGTATAAGTGCTTATATTATATTTATTTATTATACATACCTAATAAATAGTACCTATAAATATTTAGAATACCTATAACATGTTTAATTTCTCAGGATCAGAATTAATTGCAGTAATTAATATTTGACGTTACTTTTTTTATTATAGAAAACTTACTCGTTTGAACATAATATATTTTCTTAAGACGCAAAATAGTAAAAAGAAAAGGGGGATCCATCCATAATATCCCTCCTCCTCGTAAATACGACACAGGCTTCACCATTCGTGTGAGGAATAAAGATACACACTATGGCATTGCTAAAACAGTAAAACTTGACCTGCGCTCTGCCATTCGCTCAGATAACATTTTATAATGTTATTAAGTTAAAAAAGCGGCTAAGGGCCTGTATCAATTATAAATTATTGTTTTGCACATTTGTCAATTATTATATTACTGTGCGCTCAGTGCCATTATAAGTGCAATTAGTATTTTTTTTTTATTAGCATAATATATACATCTGGGTAATCTTCCCGTCCTCGACACTTCGCAAGTCAGTGCATACGACCGCCATATTTTCAGGATCTGCATTGGCGCAAAACAATATTTCTATGAATTATAAAATATTTGTTATATAGACATTGGGGTTCCACGATTTTCCTGAGGGTTGTTTTTTCCGTGGTTGTAAAAGTTTGGGAACTGCTGCTCAATAAAGTACCTACTATTAATAAGCTTAATTATTGTACGATATTGTGGGTAACTCAGGAACAAATTAAACTTTTAAAATAGAATAGGAGCCTAAAATAATTTTATGATTATTATTCTGTGACATTAAATATTTAACTAAATATTTTCATTCTATTTTCAAATACATATTATTACAATCATTTTCAGATATAATGTCCTGAAATAATCAATATGTCAATATGAATACACTTTTGACCGGGGGTGCAATATTTGAAAGCCAGGTGCTTAATGCCTATACATATAGGTGCAACTGTTATTTTTATGAATTTAAGCTATGTTTTTGGGTCTGCTCATTCTCGTAGAGCAGACATTACTCAGCTTTATGTAAATTACATATACCTAGCAGTAGCAGAATATTAATATCAGCTATAGGTACAATACATTTCAGCACACGAGGCAATTCAAAAACACGAAATTTATAATTTATTTATTGAGAAAAGGATGATGACAACTCATATAGGTACACGCTGTCAAATGGAAATCGATATTCTATATTTTGAGAGTATACAAAATAAGTTAAGTAAAGTAAAAAAAAAAAACAACAATGTCTTAAGGTTTATTTAAACATGCAGCGCGTGAGAATAATATATTAGAACATCGTACATATAGATACTATAATGTATTAACGTAGACATAAGACATTATAGTTTAAATAATATTATATTGTAGTACATTGCATAATATATAAAACTATACTATATGATATGCCTATACGCTTGAATCTGGTCCTTAACGTTAACGCACAATTATTATTGTGAATTTTTGTTTTTAATCATTAACAGCATAGAGAAGACAACGTTTATAATAAAATAGTATACAATAAATGATGTGTATCGTATAAATTATAAATATTATTTAAGTATATTTTATATCTATATATGTATATGATAATAAAATTAATAATCGTAAGTATAATAATATGTATATATAAATAATAAAAATAATAATAATATGGAACAGTATTGCGTATATATAGGCGGTATATTACTCTAAAAGATTGAGAGTGCTGTTGGTCTTCCTCAACTGAGCTCTCCACGGAATGATTTTGGCAAGACCCTCGTCCCCGTCGGAGTCTTTTGCGTTGTTGTTGGAGACTATTTGCTGTGGCTGCAAAGGAGCCTGTGGCGCCGTGGGTTTCTCTTCCGTCTCCGCCACTGGTTCATCTTCCACTGCCGGCTGATCGTTTTCCTTGTTTTGACCGTCCGCCGCAGATTCGGCAAACGTCACCTTGCCCACGAAAGCTGGTGGTGGTTTCCCATTGGTCGACAGCCTAAGCAGACAACGACTTTCTGTTAGCGAAAATGCAACGAAACCACTTGACATTTTTTATTTTCAGATAAGTTATATTTTATAACTGACCGACCATAAAAAGACAATGTGTGTACACTGTACACTCTACTGCTACCACAGTGTCAGTTCTCCCTTGATACCCATTAGGTACGTAATTTCATTTTCTTTTTATCGATAGTGACAAAATGTTTGCAGTCTTTCTTTTTAAGTCATTACTAGGTCATATTTGATATAGGTATAACTTATAACTTATAGTACAGGTTCTGTTGTAATGGATTACGAACAGACCAAGGAGGCAATTTGATTAAAATGTAAGCAAACTAGGAATGTCACTTTTATTTTTTATTTTCATTTGTTTTTTATAGTATAATAGTATAATATATTACTGATAGCAAATTGTTCATAGTATTATAAGTTAACTATCAGAAAGCAGCGAGAATTTATTTAAAAATTAAAATACACATTGGCTGTTTCATTTTATTTTTAGGTGAAAGAAGGGGTAAGCTTTTCTGTAATTCGTATAACTTATAAGTTTATATAAAACGTTTGTACTTTGTAGTTTTTTATAAACTAAATAGTATAGTTTACTAAGAGCTATTATTCATTTTGAAATTTATACACCAAATAATAGTAGAAATGGTTAATAAGTAACTATTAAACTATAATATACTTCTGTTCTGCAGTGCAAACATTCATAATTGCATTGTTTGTCATAGGAAACAGCCGTAATTAATTTTATTGGAAGTATTTCTCAACAGATTAACTCGGATATAAAATAAGCTTTATTAAATTATTGAAAATTTGATAATGTATCTTGTTTGACGTGTACTCTCGAACTCTTCGAATGTGGATTAGTATGTAAATTGCGTGGGTATGCATTATGCAATAAACACTAATATTATTTTCAACTTATAGATGATTTAGTAACATTAAAATATTGTTATTGAAATTGAATTCGTTCAAACACTGAATTGAAAATTGAACTTCAATTTCAAATGCCTTGTTATATTAGTAGATTAAATTTATTGAAGACAATTAGTTATTACATTTAATTTTTAATTCACAGACATGCCTTACACGCGCACACCCACACACACACACACACACATACGACGAGGTAGAGACTGGCTATATTTTCAGAGAAAACAACAACAGCAATGCACTCGCGGGAAATCAAACCGTGACGACGACAATTTCTACACCAACCAATTATCTCGGTGACTAATAATTAGACGCTGTCGAAACGTATAACTAAGCAATAGACTCAACAAGTTTTCAAAAACGTACTTGTCGTCTTGTCTCTTGTTTTGCATCAATTGCCGTTTCCACGGCGGCAGAGATTGCAAACGCTTTTCCTCGGCCTGCCGGCTAAGCTCCTCCTCCATGTCCTTTCGTGCTTTTTCCGCTGCCTTTTTTGCCATCATCTGACGCTTCCACGCGGGTATCACATTACCGTTGGCGTCCTTTTCCGGGATCTATAAAATAAACATTTACAACATTAATTTTTGAAATGTTGTCAGATACCATGCAAGTGTGCAACACATACAAAATAATAACATATTCACTTATTATTTATACCGACTGCTTAGTTGATATTATAGTTATTAATTATTGTTATATGTTTTTGGTGATAATATTATAGTGTACATACTAAACTAAAATAAAAATATAGAATACAGCTAAACGAATATGTTTCTAATGATAAACGAGTTCCACAGACAAAAAACATAATATATTATAATTTATAATTAATTAGAAACATAACGTAATTAACGACCGACGAGAATCGCACGAAAAATAACGTCATTGCCCGTCTTCTTGATGTCTAACATGAGGTGAAATCGCTTATAATACCTACAGCTTTCAGATATTTTTATGCCTAGAGTGAAATGCGTGTAAATGGAATGGCGATTGAATATCGCATTGGTTTAGTCACGATTATGATTGACGGTGTGTGTACAACATATATCAGATTAACGTTTTAAAATTTGAAATTCCCTATGTATTTTATGTTTAGCTGCGGAATTTAAATCATAAATTAAAAACAATATAATAGTACCTATTATTATTTTATTATAAATAAATAAAAAAATGGTAAGAATTATTATATGAACCACAATCTTTCTATTTTAGTAAATAAAAGTTTAAAATTCCTCTCAACCATAATCTTGTATTTTCTTAGGTTATCGAATCATTCGGAAACATATAATAAATATAGAAAGATAGTGCGATAAAATTGATTATAGTTAGAAATCAACCTGTTTTTAATTCATACAACTTAATAATTATTAGAACGTGAGTAATTAATATGTTTTAACACTTATAGCTACAACATTGAATGTAACTATAAAATAATAAATGCCTAGTAATCAAAAAGAAGTACTTTTGAAGATACATGTAATTTGTATACTGGATATATTATTAAAACTAATAAATATGTGATTACCATTAACCCGAAAAAAAAAAACTAAAACCTGTAGGGGCGGTAACTGGTAAGATTAGGATTAATGTAATCGATAATAATTCGAATACGAATATTATAATTATATGTACTTATAATATTAATTAAATATTCTATTATTATAATAATATCAGTTATAATGTCTTATATAGGCAAATAGGTACCTGATCTATTATATTGTCGGGCGACAACTGTTTGGTGATCTCGTTGATCTTTTGTTTTTCGCTCATCTCGTCCATTTTGACTTTTTCCACTTTCATCTTTTTAATGCCGTTAATATCTTTGGACATTTTTAATTCTGCTATCAGATCTTGCCTTTGTGCTTGTAACGGAGGCACGACACCTAATGAAACACAATAAGTAATAAGTAATAACACACATATCACGCGAGTCAGTGAAAGCCGAAGAAATTATGAACCATTCCCATAATATTGTTGTTGTAATATTTGTCTAATTACACGCTTTGTTATTACATTGTCGGACTTTATTAATATGATACAAAAACTAATTCCAGTGTACAGCATTCTCCAAAAAATCAATTATTATTGTGTACAGAAGTTTATGAATGAACATAGGATTTTTTATATAGAAGGTATAGACGCATTGAAATTTGCATATTGATTTTCTATTAAACAATTTGATATATTTTTTTCATTGATAATATCATTTTGTTATTATCGAAAACACAATGTAATTTAGGCTGATATTTGATTACAAGACTGAAACCAACACATAATAACTTAAGTTTCCGTTCAGTAAGTACCTATAGAATTTTATGGAAAACAATTTATCTATTCGGTAAATTCGACTCAATTTTCACCAAATACCTTCAATTCTGTCATATATTTCTAAGAAAAATTACTTTTTTTTAATAATATTGTTTAATGATTCATTTCTGAAGTGTTGCTCAAAGTACAAACACAGCTTGATGTTACGGGTTTAATTTATGTGACTATATGCGTCAGCTCAATATTTCATAGTTTAATGAAACACAGTTTTAATTTTGGTAATGAACAGTTGCATTTCGAAATGAAATAAAGTTACCAGGTCGTAAAAATAATTAACACTCATCATAAAAAAATCATAATACAACAGAAACGATTCTATAAACTGAAAAAAAAATTCACAGCGCCGTGGGATGTATAAATGTAATTATTATTAAAGATTAAATGCCGAAAGAGAAGAATATAAGTCATTCATTTCAATTACGATACGTTCTTTTGTCAATATATTATATAGTAACATTCTATTTGTGTGATTTATTGAAAAGAAAAGCTAAAGACTTAAACCTTATAAATAAAATCATTTCTGTTGTAAGGTATTCGATTAACAACCTGCAAATAAATAATGAATTTCTAAATTCAATACACGTATTAAGGTAAACCGACAACAATAATAACATATTTGTGAATAGTTTCGTATAGTTTTCAATTAGGTTTGCATTTATAAAATCGTACGTATATGAAGTCAGATAAGTAATGTATTATAGGTAATCATTTGTACAAAAAAATATTTCGGAATGTCGATAGATTTTAGTATTTTGTCCTTAAATATTATAATTAAGGACACGAATAACTTATACGAAGATGAACAATAATTATTATTTACCAGATTGCTTGTCCACTTCGTTATTGTTGTTGTTGTTGTTCTGCATGATCTTCACGGTGCCTGGCGTTTTCTTGAGCTGTACGCTGTGCAAGTCGTGTATGCTGATAGCGGCCAACGGCTGTTGCTGGTGCTGCTGTTGGTGTTGGACGGCCACAGACAGTTCGGACTTGGTCCTGTGCAAAGGCACGTTCGCCGGCCTGATAACTTCGTTCGGGTCACCGGTATTGCCGCCCACGCCGCCGCCGACGATGCTCTTCAGGTACTCTGAGGGTTTGATGAGTCCTATGTCATGAACGCCCGTGGCCGGGAACTTTGGTGGAATGAACGCTGCTGGTTGCTGAGGTCCAGTCATCGCCGTAGCCAACGCCCCTCCACCATCCGAAGATTCTCCTGCGAAGTATAAGATGTGACTTACCGACCGTGCGTGCTTTATCTGATGGTGGTGGCAGGTGTGTGCCGTGGGTGGTTAATAGCGCGTGAAGCTTTTTACATATTTTATTTTCCCTGTACATTATGGGTACACGCTTTTTGCACACACAAGCACCGCACGGGACAACTGCGATAACGCTGCAGCATGCACAGGCAGGTAGGTACCTAATACTTAATACATGCTCACACGTCGATAATTGGCGAAAGCCAAGTGAAATCGCTCCGATTTGTATAGGATTATGCTTTTTTAAACCATTTTTAATTAATATAATTGCACTCGTAAGAAGTCGATTAATATATTATGATAAAAATAATGATTACCTATTAATTTAATATGAAATTAATTAATATGCTCGAGAACCGTGTAATATAGGAGATTTGGTCGAATTTTACAGAGGACTTAATATTTTTTTCAATAAGCTTGGATTACTTAACAAAATCATGTAAAACACACCTTTCCACCCAATCCATGTTTTTTTTATTATAAATATCCCTTTTTGTGCATTAACAATAATATCCATTTATTTAAGTAGAACAATATTACAGTTGAGGTGCCCTGTGCCGATGCCATTTTGTCCTCAAAAATACACTCTCCGGGTATAACGATACCACCTTGTAGAATCAACCACTTGAGGGAAATATTCTGCAGCTCTCATCGATCTCTGTTTTTCAATATTTTATTCTCAAACTTTATAATATGTCTAATAAAATACAAGATAAAAAGCATTTTTTTTACAAATTTTTTAATACAATTATTTGAAATAAAATACAAAATCAGAGATCGATGTGGGATGTAGGAAGTCTTCTTCTTTCAGATAAAAAAATAGTCATCAAAACCCGACAATTCTACAAAGCTTGAGAGTTATTCCCTTAAAGTATTTTTTTTCGATATAATACACCCTATCAACACCCCTTAAATAGGTATCAGGTAGTAGATTAGTGGAAAAGTCTTATAACTGAAGTGGCAACTAAAATATAAAATTTAATTTTCAAATTTTATAGAATTGTGGAAAAATTGAAAAACTGGCACCGGGGGGACCCTTAATAATAATCAAACATATATTATTATATCTACTGGAAAAAAGCAAAAACATGTTGAGCTTTTTAATTTTTATAAATTGTCTGCATGTACAGGACGAGGCCAAAGGTATAAAACTATTGACTCCCAAAACGACTGGCCAAAATAGAATTTAATTTTTTTTTTTTTTATGCCAAGCCCGCGACGAGAACTGATCCATCGCGAAATCCTATTACCTGCAGCGCGCGTACTACTTATTCGACGGGTGTATAATAATAGTAATAATAATATAATACCTATGATATTATAAAACACTCACTCGAATTGCGGACTGACTGCTGTTGCACGTACACGTACACCTGTCCGTGGAAATCGTTGACGGGCATGGGGGGCGGGGGCGGTGGAGGACACACGCCCGCCGCCGGTTCCGACACCACGCGCTTCAGCGGCGTCCGTTCCTTGTGGTGGTGAACGGCCGCGTGCAGCGGCAACGTATGATGGTGGTGTTGGCCCGGCAGCTCCGGGTCCGAGTCTTCGGCCGAATGGCTCACGTCCGACGGCGAGCCGCTCGACACTCCCGACTCTGTCATTATACATAATATTAAGACATCACGTTTGATTTTAATTTTGATCACAATTTATTATTTTATTTTCCTACTAGAGATTACAACCAGTGGCGTAGTTATACGGCCGGTTGAGGTGAGGTTCAAGATGGCGCTATTGCCCTCTAACCTCTTACCGACAAAGAAAAAGCTTAAATTTACATAAAACTCCGTTCATTTATTCATATAAATGTTAAATGGTGGTATAATTTAATTTTTTTACTGATATAAATAATAATATAATACTTGTTGTGAAATTATTCTCCAACAGAATTCAACATTGAGCTATCTACTCAATATTTAAGTTTTATTTTATTTAATATATTCAAAGTTGTATTAGTCTTCACAGACCTTTTTGTATAAGCGTATAATATATTGTTTATGCGTGTTATATTATTAATTTAAAAGTATTAACCACCTCCTTAATTAATTTTCTCTCTATGTCACTGATTACAACACTCAAACACTGAAATTGTGTCTTAAACAGTTACTTATTTTTTAAAATACAGATCTATTTGATAATACATTTTAATTTTAAATTCCCACATTGTATGTTTATCAGAAAGGATCCAAGTGATCAGTGTCTGTGTAATACATTGTATGATTATCATACGGTTTTTCACCGTGTCTTGCTGTAATTTCTATGCAGTTATGCCATTTAAGTTCACACTGCATGCAGCATTCGGTACGCCGTGCAGATAATATTATAATCTAGTATAATATTATAAATTATAATTTAATTATAACGAAAAACTCTACTTTTAGATTTTAGCACTTCCTTGAAAGTTGAAACTCCTTGGAGATGAATGTGAAATCTTATGATAAAATCATGATTACGATTTATGGCAGGTAATTAGGTTGAACAGGTGAGTATGGTAAAGATATTAATACTTAAATAATTTAATATTTATACAAATTTATAAAAATCATTCTTACCGACTACCGTGACTTTAAAATTTAAATGGTAAGGAATATGAAAGTACAATACATTCGATTTGAAATCAGATCAAACAACAGTAAATGGGAGTTTAATGATAAAATCACAGAATACAATAAAATGTTTTGTACAAGGTATATTATTATATGAAAATCCGAGAATCAAATTTATCAGAGTACAATAACTGGTTATTAACTCTGTAGGTGGCTTAAACTTTTAAGTGGTTCAACTCTTGTAACTCTATATGATACACTAATATAGCAATAAAAAATAATTATTATTACGGATGTACAAATTAAAAATAAAATTCAGTGTTTACTACGAATATTGGTGGCATCTCCGATTAGAAAAAAAAATGTAAAAAAAAATGTAGTTAAAACAATTTTTATGGAGCAATTAGCAGTTTATATAGAAAAAAATTAAATATATATTTTTAATAAGAAAAACATTGTCCACCTAGTACTAATACCATTTGTTCACTATAATGTGGACAACCGTCAACATCCTGACGATGCACGTCATCGCATAAATGGAAATGCAAATAAAGCATTAGGTAAATGTTAATAGTGAGTTGCAGTTAATCGAAAATAAAACACAAGACAAATCATATGTTCCTAATTGTCCCATTATTTTAAAATCATTAATTATAGGTACCTTGAATCACTTTTATGGCTTTAAATATTTAAAATCAGAACTGATTATAATGATAAAATAACATGATTATGTAATTTTGGGCAAATATGGAAAATAAGTTGCACTATTTGGCAACGCTCAAAATGTATCTTCATTGTAAAATTTTTTTTTTCCAATAATATATTATGTATAAATGTATACCTAATGCGATTATAGGGGATCAACTAGTTAATAGAATTAAAATGACCTGCATCGAATGTTACAGACTGATAACATAAGCATGACAAATGTACCTATACCTACTATGTCTATAACTACTATAAGCAGACTCGATATACAAAGACCATCTGCCGTATGCTGATTCGATACAATAATAATAGTTAACGTAATCTTATATTTTTAATTTTTAACGAAATCAAGAAAGTAAAATATAGTAAGGGCCGTTCTTACAATGTCCGGTAAAGTGTCGGTTAACGCTAACCGACTGACAACAGATTTTATTACCGGCAGAATTCTTCCGGTTAAGTGTCGGTTAACTTTAACCGGACATCGTAAGAACGGCCCTAAGTTGTGTAATATTTATACTGTAAACTTTGATTGTGCATCGTACTCTGCATGTACAAAGGGCCCTTATATAATAATAAAATTAAAACCACAATAAACGTTACATACCTGGCGTCATTACGCCGACGGTCTCGTAGCATTCGGTCATGTCTGGCGAGCCGTTGACAGTGACGTTGGTGATTGTCGCACACGATGAGTTGACCAACGTGCCGTCGCTGACGCCACCTCCACTGCTAGTGTGGAGCACGACCACGGACGAACCGACGACTCCGGTTGTGCCGCCGCCTCCGCTGCCCGTGGAGCTCATGGATCCGGACCGGCTGTGGCTACCCGAGTCCCGACTGGGGCTCTTGGACTCTTTGCCGCGGTGGTGATGCTGCGCGTGGTGCAGAAGACCTACGCCTTCGGCCCGCTGCCTCACCTCGTAAATGTCCTCGTAGTCGTTCTCACCGGCCGCCGTGCCCTGGTCGCTGCCCCGATCCGACGACGACGAGCTGAGGTTCTCGTCCGATCCGGCGCCGGAGCTGCTGTTGCTGCTGTGCACCTCCACTTTGACTGTGAACACGGAAAAATCGGGCGCCCGAGGCGTCGTCGTTAGTGGCGTGAACGTTCCGGCCGGACCGGACAGCGACGCGACGTCGCGCCTGGCGTCCGCTCCGCCGTCCCGGTCGCCGCCCACCCACCGGCGCCGCAGCAGCATTCGCGACGGGCACGGCGAGAGCGCCGCACAAAGGTCGACGGCGACCATGATGTTACAATATTGTTACGATTAGTAATTCTTATTGTCGTCGGCGGCGACGTGTAAACGCTAAACGGCGACTGCAGCGGAACAAACAACTCATATACTATATTAAAATGTGATATCATACCGGTGGGCACTCGGCGACGCCTTTTTCATTTATTATTGTTTACTTATATGTTTAACCACTTATCTCGACACAGATAACGCTCCCGACGGACGAGATAACGCCGGCATGTTCTTACCTACGCTCGTCGTAACGCAGAAAACAATTATTATAATATTATGTGAGTTTATTAGGTAGCTATATCGCGCGCTCGGTTACGTCTATTTTTTCTTCGATTTCTCGAATTTTAACACAGTAAACTCGGTATTTTTTCAACGGCAAACGGTCGTTTTAGTTATTGCTTGCACAGTGGCCACATGAAAATCTATATCATGTGTACCGGTAGAACAGCTTCGTTATCGTTTATTTATTACGTTATTCGTTAGTATATAGGTACTACATGTTTATCATACAGGTATGCCGTATGAGAACGCGAAAGTGATTAGAAAAAAATTGCAGCCTATACTCAATAGGCGACCCATAAACTAATGCATATTTTTTCCTAGTGAATACCATGCGTGAAAACGTCGTTAGAGAATGAATTTACTGACGATAAACTCGTTGCAACGAAACGACAGATGGTATTTTGGATTTTACGACATGGATCGATATTATTGTAGGAATATTATAGGCTCAAAAACACTTATGTTGAGTATCAACTCGTCGTATTTGCGACTTTCGCATTACACTGCTTGAGCGTTTGTTAAATGCATTAGGTATACATAATATTATTTTAGTACACGTTTTGTCTTTTCGAGTACCGGTTGTTCCCAGAAATGCATTGAGACTTTAAAATGTAATGGTCTTATCGCATTATTTAATTAATATTAATTTGTCCAACTTTTATTTCACTATAAGCTCGTACCTCACGTACTATAAATTCTGGCTTTAAGGATGAATTCCTCTATATTTGTGGTCCCATAGGTGTAGATGCATAGATGTTTAGTATAGCTAATGACTATATATAAAGAGTAGGTACCTAAAAAATTATATATTTACCGACCGCTGATCACATCTCATTCTACTATAAACGTATCTGTTTTTATATTTTTCAACTGTATAATTAAAGTTGTAGAAGTTACCTTCTTTACTACTTTCTTTTAGTGTACAGCTCCATCTTTCAGATAGCACAATGATAGATTTCATAGTGTTCCATTTATCCTTATTAGGCAGGTATATAATCTCCCAGCTCGTTCCTTTTTGTATATATTTTAATAAAACAATACTCTCCGCTCTATCAGAGATAGAAAATAATTTAAAATCCATCCAACTTCATCCTTCATCCAACCTCTATCCAACTTCATTTCTTGTTTTAATTATCATTATCCTGTTGTATTATTTTTAACTATTCTTTAAAGTCCTCAATGTCCTGAATCCTGATTTATCATTCAATACCAGATTTGTAACAGTAATATTTATATTTTATATGGTATTATTTTATTTTTATTTGTACATGAATGATTTTTTTTTTTCACTATATTATAGTCTTATTATGGCCAAGGTAAAATTTTTAAAACTTTTTTATAAACTTCAATAAAACGACAATAAGTTATTTATTGAAGTGACAACGTATACCTATAATGAATTATCTTCCGATCGGTCGGATGTCATCCGGTCACGCCTAATCTCATTTTGCTATTATGGTAATGTGTTATAATAATGCCATGTCTGGGAAAGAAATATGACAGCGATTACACGTAGGACGTATTCGAATGTTTTATTATTAAAATGTCGTTACGCGGGCGGCGGCATTGTAAAACGTGTAAACCGAAAAAATCCGTCATAAAAAAAAAAAAATGATATACATTTAACGACGACTAAAATATTATAATAATATAATATATATAAACACACTGTCGTGTTAATAACAATATTATAATAGAGCGCGTCTTACCGGTCATGGTGTTGAGGCCAATGGCCGGCAGAGGTGGCGGCGGAGGAGCGGCCGTGGTCACGTACGACGCTGTCTTTGCCGCGGTCTTGTCCGTCGCGAATATGTCCTTCACCGGGTCGTCGATCACTCCGTTCGGGTTGTGCAGGTAAAACGGTCCCTGCGGCTGCGGCGGTCTGACCGGTTCGACGGCCTGCAGCAATGACGCCGCCGAGTTGACTTTGCAAAACTGCTGTTGCTGCTGTTGCATCGGCGGCGGCGGTGGTGGTGGCGTTTTCACGACGTACAGACCGTCTTTGACGGCCACCTTGCCGCGTCCGGTCCCGTTATGCTGTTGCTGCTGCTGTTGTTGCTGGTGCTGGTGCTGATGACCGCCCACCGCCGACGGGGGATGCAGGTAAAACGGTTCCTGGCTCTTCTTGTAGTTGACGCAATCGGCAAACGAGCACTGTAATTACGGGCGTACATTATTCAATTAATTCAATTTATTGATTAAGTGATGAAAATAACCGAATTGGGAAGACACTACATAGGCGTATATCGAACGTCAAACCTTAAAAACAATTCTACAAACATACGAAGCCGCGATGATACGATATATCAAAATAAATATAAGTGACACAGATTGACATACAAGTAGGTACAATAATCAATAACTGCCGTGCTAGATGTCGAGATGAAACTAATATTGAAGTGATGGTGTCATCTCAGTTTCCGTCGGCTATACTTCTTATAGTGTTTACCTACTCTAGTAAGAGGTTTGACTGGCTTTAATGGCGATTTATAATAATATTATATACATTGAAACGCGTTTAATAATAATTATTATTATCGCAGTAAACGCGTGCACGATTTTATAAGGTCTGTGCGTCTATATTATATACCTCGTACGTTAAGCGTGCGTACTTATAAAGTTAAAAAAAATACATAATAATTGTATGGATGTAAGTATACATAGAAGCTAGTCAGCCGTTAATCTGCATATTTCAGCGATGTTACAGATGAGTAGTAGCAGTGTGTGTCCACAGAGATGTATTACAATATGTAGGTAGCTACAAGCTACTAATTTAATGCAATGGTGTATAATTATTAATTACCAATTTGTGTTTGTATACTAAGTATACATCGATTACTCTGTATATATATATATATATTATATTAATCTATTTCATCTCATATATTATAAATATACCTACATAGGAAGAGAGACGTTCAAAGACTCACACACACACACAATGTAATATATAGTTATAATATTATTTATTTATAATATTATATTAAAATACACTCACTCGTGTTTTCGGTTCTTCTTTTCGACACGTACAGCCTAACAACCTGCCGTTCTTTTTCTCGTCGTGATAATCTGGCATCGTACCATGTTGCACCAATATGTTCAGACACTGCAAACACACAAACACACACACGATATAATATTACATTATTAACATTTCGAAAGGGTATCGGTACAATATATACAATACAAAACGAATTATCGCATTATAATAATATATATAAATATATCGATGGGTTTCACAACAGTCAGACTTATATATTATATTGTATAACATAATATAATATATTATACGTATTACGTGTAAGAAATGATGCAAACGGCAATTAATTTGCGGTCGACATATCGAGTGCGTATGTTTTTTTTTCGTTTGGCCTATACACAGTTTACACACGTTACGAAACGTCTATATGGGACAAATGTTAGGGCGTAGTTATACTTGCGATATATATTTTTATAATATTGTATGCACTCTGGGGTAAGTATACCCTTCCTGCTTGGTACTTGTACATTACGAAGCGCGGTGGGAGATTTATTATAATATTGCGCGTATATATTATATAGTTTGTCAAAGTTTCGAGCTTTCGTTTTTCTCACGTTGTGTAGTTTCATACATAACATGATATCGTTCTTTCACCGGCCATGATGGATGAAGGTCGCCAACCAACTGGAGAATCGCATCAAGAGGTTATTGGAACGTGAACGCAAACAGCGCCGACACCGGAATGTCCGTTGGCCGTTGTCGATTTCACCGTGCGATGATCACTATAATATCATTCACCCATGGTCATCATAATGGCGATATAAATATTAAAGATCACGGTCGTGGTATTTAACGAGCCACGGAAATAATATGCATTGCACTGCTGCAGCTGCTGACTAATTGGGTTAATTATCCGGACGATGAGAACAAACACGTTTTCCTTGTTCATTTGACGCCACCATCGACGCTATTGGAAATTCGAAAAATTATTGTTGTTAAACAATACGGTAAAGACGACAATATGACGATAGGTCAATGCCAATCGACGACTGGTGAGAGGTTATTTCCGAATTTTCGTCCGTAGTAAGTATGACGACTAATAGTACTGACGGTGCGTGAAATTGATTTTATTCACCAAACACGCCGATTTACAGTGACCTCATCCGAAGCATTTGACGTGTGTCAGCACTGGCCACCGAGCAACAGCAGAAAATTGGGTACACAGTTTACAATTATAATTATTACATTATTGTTCCTTCCTCGACATATAATATTATGTTACATGCATAGCCGGAAAAACGATAAAAGAGAAATTGATATACGCACGCGCCGCCTTCATTCTCACACACGAAACCTAATAATTATCATCGTGATCCACCGACTATGATAGACTACCGCGGATATCAATGAATTTGTGTTATAGAATTGATGTCGATGGGTCACGATAAAATGGAAATTACCAATAATAATAACTACGGAATGTATTCCTAAAATAGAAAAGTCACTGGCTCGTTTCAAAGTTATAAAGTTACAAACCAATGTTTTAAATTATTTTATTATTTTGTAGACTATAGTGTCCATCCTAAAATCAATGTTTTTTTAATTATCTTCTTCTTCTTCTAGGGTTAATCGGCCGCTAGGACCATCCCGTCTCACAACCAATTCTCCAGGCATCTCTATTCATCGCCAAATCCTTCCAGTTTGCTCCGCCTCCTAAGTCTTCTATATCCCTCTTAACTAAATCTTCCCATCTCAATTTTGGTCTTCCCAAGGGCCTTTTTCCTACTGGATTCTGTTCTAGAACCATTCTTAGTAAAGAGTTCTGGCTTCGGATTGCATGTCCTGCCCACCGCAATCTTTTTTTCTTGATCGTCTCTGCTATGTTATTTTCATTAAAAATTTCTTGTAGCTCTATGTTTTTTCTTCTTCTCCACTCTCCTGTGATGTTATCTTTTATTGGGCCGAATATCTTTCGTAATATTCTCCTTTCTAGTATTAAGAACTTATTCTCATCTGATTTCCTTAGTGCCCATGTTTCCGATCCGTACAATATCACTGGCCGTATTAGACTAGTATACAAACGTCTTTAATTATATATTTTATAATATTATACTATGATATATTGTATATAATTATACAAGCATTCTCACCCACTTATTTTGTCTTACATAATGCAGTTTATTATTCAAAATCTGAATTTTTAAATTTTTAAATATAATTAGGTACTATTGTAATACCGTAGTTATTAGCCATTGAATAATTTACAGACTTACAGTCAAAAGAAGGGTTGTAATTTGAAAAATAGAAGTTTGTTTCACCACAAGAGGCTTTCTATGTATAGGTAGTATAGAAAAATTCAAGAATTTTAAAATATGGTCTTTGAGCATATTATTTATTTTTTTTTAAATTTCAATAGTTAAAATTTGATTTATTATTATAGGAAACAATATAATGTAAGTAGATATAATAAGACGTTTTTTAAACATAATTTACCAAATATTGATTAAAATTAAAACATAATTAGGTATAAGCAACATTTTTATATTAGATAAATATATTACAATTTACTCATTTTCTCATTAGATTTTTTTTTGTTGTTGGATTTCTTGAACAAATATAAATTAAAATAAAGTACGAAGGAAAAAGTACTAGAGAACATAAAGGCAGGCAAGTTCGCAAAATGTTCGCTTTTCGTTATGGTAAAAACCACTCATAATATTATTATATTATATTTTCTATATTATTAACGTTGATTATATGTAATGGACAAATATTGCTCACCTCCATCTGATGATTTTCCGCTGCGTCGTTGATTGGGCTCTTCCCGTATTTGTCGACGACTAGGTTGGCGCCGTGCCTCAACAACCACCGCACCGTGTCAACGTGACCTCTGCTCGCGGCGAAATGTAACGCTGTTGCACCATCACCATCTCTGAGGTTCGGGTCGACTCCTTGATCTCTGACCTGTTCAATCACACATACGGAGCACAATGCATAATATTATAAAAAAAAAACAATAATAATAAATTCTCGGCAAGGGTGATAATAACTGTAATTTAATTAATAATAAATTATTATATGCGAAAAAGAAAAAAACAACACACACGATGATAATATATCAGGGCATCAGGTATTATCCACCAGAAAAAGAATTGGACGAGCTCTACGGCAATTATTTTATAAAAAGAATAACAATACCGCCGAGAACGTCGAAACCATGACGAAACATCTCGAGGTTCACCATAATATAAGCGTGAAAGACAGTGATTTCGTGTTTTCAATATTACACGTTTATTCTTAATATATCTGTAGGTTTATTATAATATGCAGTACTTATACCTATGTACACAAAACCTTCGGTGCAGAAATGTATCAATGATAAATGCTAACACGCGATGATTGATCAAAACTTGTTATTCTCAATAAATAATGAATAATGATTCTACTATTCTAGTCGTACAAACTCCCCAAAATCAAAATATTATAATATTATCTATTTTGTTTTTATAAATCTTCTAGATTTTTGTACTGTTATAACTTGTAAGTAAGTACTTTACTTTCACCGAATTTTAATGGAAATAATGATTTTGTTATGAAACAAGACGTTTTTATAATATGTGTTTTAAAGACAAATATTTGTATAACATTTTAATTATAGTGATTATATTTTAATGATTGTACAGTTATTAATTATTATGTTAGTTAGCGTAAAAACTACGTGAAACCAAAGATCAGTTAGACTTTATTATGAAAGTTGAATAGTTATAAAATATAAAAATCCCACGAGCAAATACCTACAACTTCCGCAATATTTTGTAAGAAAATTAAAAAAAATCACACATTTCATTTTTATTATATAGGTACATACCTAGTGGCTATTTCCTACTATAATAATATAACTAACTCTGCTGGTAACATAAATGTTCGATAATAAATCATGTTAAAGTGTTTGACATTATAGTAAAACTTATTATTATATTAAATGTAACTGCATAACTGATTGCGCAGTAGGTCAACAACTTTAATATTGCAGGAATTAAGAACTACTAGCTGTGGCTTTATATGGGTAAAAATATGTTGAAAAAAATGATTTATGTTCTATTTATTCTATTTATTTATTTCGTCTGACGCTGTCGAATCCACATAATAACAGTAACACAAACATAAGACATTCCAAATAATTGTATCGTTGGGGCTTGGAGCCTTCATCGGAGTACCGTCGTACAATATTAGAGGTAAAATTTTACACTCACCATCCATTTCAAACAGTTGAGACATCCCATTTGAGCGGCGGCGTGCACTGGGGCCATGCCGTCTTTGGCTCGGACGTACAGCGAACCACCTGCCTCGAGCACGAGGAATTTGAGTACTTCCAGGTGTCCCTCTTGTGCGGCCAAGTAAACCGGGGTGACGTCGTTGTCCATCTGAGTGTTCGCGCTGCAACAAAATACATACGATTTATAAGTATGAGTTAAAAGTTAAGCACAGATCACACAAATACATGATACGAGTCCACACACATACTGAGATACAGGATACGAATCCACACACGCGACACGCTCAGATAATGGTCAACAATAAACTCCAACAGAGTTGACAATATTATTATTAATTTTAATAGTCTAAATGTACAGTCAAAATAATTTACGAGCCCTAGGATAAGAGGCCGGGAAAGGACGAAAGCATATAATGTCATTATATTATATTATGAACGGCTTATTTGGAGGAAACTTGGAAAAGAATGACCAATTTATTTTGCGATCATAATATCATAGTACTGAGCAGGACGCTGATTGCTAGGTATTCAAATGTTCGTGGTGCATAGACTAGACACACGGAATCGATTAATTTCATATTTTTATGTATATACAGTATTACACGTTTATATTTTATATGTGCACTGCACTGTGCTATGTGTGTATGAAGTGTATATGATGGTTTTTAAAAAAAATAAATACATATTTAAATATTTCAAAGATTGCGTGAAATTAGTAATTTTTATGGGTCCGATCGTCACGTCACAAATCGTGTCAACTACCTAGTGCAGACAGGTCCACTTATTCATGAGTTTCTCAACAAATTACACTTATTGATGAATTTACAATATGCGTGCGCATTAACAACGTTATATTTTATACCATATAATGTGTCAAGCCATAGAACCCGATGGTCTGTATACATTACCAATATCTTCTTATACTTCAAACGGACATGACTTTCACGTAATTTATTCACTTATTGTTTGTTTTCTATTTATGTATGGAATTTTTTTACACATTTTAAAATTAATACCTGGTCAATAAGTTAGATCTTATTTTTTTTTAATTCTTGACGATTCGTGACAAATCAAAAACATCACCAATTCATTCTAAATCACTACTTAAGGTTGTATAGATTATATTATATTCATCATATTCATTATAGGATAAAAAAAATGGATGTTGTAAATTATTTATCAAAAATACGGTAGGATTGATTACTTACTAAATTTATTTGGAAAAAAATTAAAAATATTACATTTTATACGTATAAATGTATAATACTAACTACTATGGTATAATGGAAACCACGGATACCAATAAGTGGCGCGATTTTACGTCCACCCCAAAAAGGCGTCTTAAAAATCGTATTGACACGTCATAAAAATGTATAAAAAAATAATAATTATGTTTTTTCCACTCATGCAGTTAACCATCGTGTATAAAGAATATCGACTATAATCAGTCGTGTTATAATTGTTATTCAATTATAACATTCACTATTCAGCTTTCCCGCTGGTCACCCGGAATTTAACGGGTCGTTTTAAGATTATCTGACCATAGTTGTAAGTCCAACTCGGAGCAGAACAATGATATAATTATTGTACAATACCCGTCACCACTATAGGCACGATAATGAAACGTAACTATATATATAAATATAGGTATATAGGTATACAATTGTAGGCTTGTACGAAAAAGTATCTGTATAATATGATTGAAACATTAAAGGTTTAGGTATTATTACGTGATCGAATTAATGATATTTCATGAGGTTAAGTAACACGTATGTGTTATTGCTCGACATATGTAGTGAACCAAAATAACGGGGCAATAGTACCCTGCAAGTATACGGTAACTGACAAGGCATAATTAAGAGCCCGGAAATGATGTAGATTTCTCACGGCTGTATACATAAAGGTTAGGTTACATACCTATATTATATTTATTGCGTATGAAATATTTCTATGTATGAACTTTAGTATTCACTATTCATAAACTTTAAACACGCTCGTAAATGATATTCAATGAAATAACAATAAATTTACTATTTTAATTTTTACTTGGTAATTTGTATAGACCTACTGTACCGAAAAAATCGTTTATATAGGGTACATGTGTTCCATGATTAAACGCTCTTGGATATGAAAGAAAAAAATGATTTATATATATATATATATTATGGTGCAGTGAGTCGTTCTTGCTGGAATGCATAATTGATTAACCTGCACATGGTTTTTTTGTGAAGTCGATTCGACATCAAAACGTGTCTGGAACACGTTTTATGTTTGTCGACGTATAAAATATAAAATATACCTATATTGGACTCTATTAGGTGTCCGCAAACTATAGGAACGACCATTAGGCGGTTTTCAGGTTGAAAAACCAGGTTACCGATCCGGAATCATTTTATCAGCTAACTCGGCGGGCAACAACACTTACACGCTTGTTAGCTTTGGAGAACGATTCGCGTGTCCATGGCGGGCGTAAATAATAAAAATAAAAAGTGCAAACATTATGATGTTAACATTCAAGGCGATCACAACGAAACACCGACCGTTTACTTTGGTGTTTTTATTTCGCAATTATTGGCGGACGTGGTGGAATACTAACAACAACAATAAAATCGTTTGTTTGTACAGCTGATATTTGACGTTTAAAAAGGAAATTAAAATAAAAACCCTATGGGAAAAAATGTACTTAAAAATAAAAATGTATGCAGGAACGTGATTTCCCTCTCATTATACAAGAGCAGGCCCAATGGGCAACTATATGATAGGGGTCGAAAATATTCGCAATCGATATTACTCTAAGCGAACATCTATAGTAAAATATGAAGCATCGGATAATATCATATTGTCATAAATACACATAGCACATGCGGGACTTTAGAGACCTTAAATAATTACAATAATAATTTCGTTTGGAAATCAGTGCTAGTCGTGAATAATTACGAAAAACATCGAACCAGAAAACTTGAATCAAAACTACTTCAGTAAACAGTATTAATACTAGGTTGCAATATATTATTTTGTATATTATGACAATGCCAAATAGCTGCGTACATAATATAATAATATGTTATAATATTTTATTTTAATATAATAAGCACTCCGTTGTCGTTATTACGGCCACTTACTTATGAGCAGTGGAAAACTCCGAGTGCCTAACACTTATGCCTCCATAATATACGTAATTACTCGTATGCTCTATACAGTTATCTCCAGAATTGACGTACATGCGAATGTACACCTACCTATTAAATATAGTATTAAATTATTGTACTGTTTACAATGTACATAGGTTCCCAGTCATGTGTACCGTTTCTAAAATCTAAATGTACATCACAGATTTTCAGTATTTTCATTTGATTCATTATTAATTATTATTAACTTATTTTTTCTTTTCTCGGGAGCATAAAAAAATGCATTTTAATAACTATATTAAAAATTTAAACATCATATAGTAGGTATACGGTATACCTACAATATACATTTATCAATTTATGTTAATAAATTATTTGTTACTTATATTATAAACTTTATCTAAAAATTAAACTAAAAATATTTTGATGATTTAAAAAACAAAATTATTTATACAGTTATCTCATTATTAGCTTAGTGCCTTAATATTATGTAAACTATTATTGCATAAAACCATGTTATTGTTAAAACAAAATTGTTATTGGGTATTTAGGTACCTACGTTTTGACTATAACAAATTTATAACAAGTATATTACTTAGGTACCTGTGTTGTAGCTAACCAATAATAATAATTATTCTGTGTTGCATTTACTAATTCAAAATATATCGTTTTAATAATACGTACATCATTGTAACAACTTTTCACTACCTAACTACCTTTTAATACAATAATAGAAGTTTTAGCCATCATCATTCATAGTTTTTTATTTAGTTTTAATTATTCAGCAATTTAGAGTAAACACAATTTATTTATATAAAATGGATCAATAGGCTATACGTTTTGGTCGTCTCTTCCAAAATATAAATAATAAACACAATATATTGTTTTTTCATTTAGATTTTTATCGACAGAAGTAGTTCAGACATTTATTACAAATAGACAAAACGATGTTCCGTTAATCTTTTCATTGCAAACACCATCGTGATCGAAATAATTTCGAAACACATGTACCCTGTACGCTATTATACCTACTATATTCAGAATAATTTTAAACGTGATGTGCTTATTCCTCTATACACGAAACTTCTATTTGTTCGATAGATATGAAACTTGGAACTAAAAATGGTTTTTAATTAAATTCAAAAACGAACCAGGCAATATAATTCCATAGATAATGATGTAACAGCAGTAGGTAATGTTAATTAATATCGATTTTTTAGCTATATAATGTTTTGTATCAATTAAACTTAAAAAGTAGCCTATTAAAAATATGTAGGTTGGGACAGGGCATTTTTAAATGTTATTTAAAATAGGCCTGAAGTATGAAATAATTAAATTATAACAATTAAAAGCAACAAAATGTAATTAATAATTGTTCAAGAATGTTAAATTTTTTGTAATAGGTACAAAATATGTTATTAATTTTATTTGGTAGTTACCTCATATGCATGACCGTAAACAAATAATAATTATAATATTAGTGTGTATGTTTGTTAATAAATGAATTGTTGTGGTAATAATTTATATTCTCATTTCATCATCAGCACAGACAAACGACGGTTTATGACATTTCGTCCGAGTGCTTGACGGCGATCGAAATTCGATAATTTAGTGAATTACAATATTATAAATAGCTAATATTATACTATCATTGAGGCCATCACCTAAAATTTTTTTAAAACTCCATAGGTAATTGGTTAGGTGTATCGAGTACACATAAATGGATATTGAAACGCGTTGGGTACATATTGGATTAATAATATCCACTAGTCAATCAATTAAAACGTAATATAATGATAAATATCAATATTATGTAGGTATTCTGAAACCAGGGTGAAATCGACTGCATCCACGAGAACGCGATAAAACGGCGTAGGTCCTAAACGCTGTGCACATTCCTCGCGCAAACCGAATCGGTATGTAAATTTCCACGGCGAGGTTTCCTCGGGCTAAAATAAGACGATATCGCGTGTATGCGTGTTATTACACGCATATACAGGTACTACACACATTATAATATTATTATATTACCATGTATAAGTGTGTGTATATATTTGTCTCCGCTACAATTCCAATATCGGTCAATTGGATGGCATGAAAAATAGTTTTATATTCATACAACCGAGACGCGCCAAGCCATTACACGGGTAATTGCATCGCGACTGGTCGTCGTCCGACCGACCAGACTAACAGTTATATTCCGCGTGTCTGTCGCTCTCTTGCCGCTATAGCCTATACTACGCTACTATTTATTATTTTTATATTATATATGTGTGCAGTATAAACGCTGAGAATTTTATGGAAAAAAACACACACACATACACGTGCATAATCCACCAGAGCACCAAGATGACACACATTTGGAGACGTAAAAAACATAAATACATACATAATATATTATAGTCATATATTATTATGTACCTATATAGTATTATTATATGCACACGACGAATCCATAAACCAACATTATTATACTTGTGCACCGGACGAGAACTATGCTGCAGTGCCGAAGGGCACATGGTCCGTGTATAATTTTTTTTGAGAAAAAAAATATCGATGAAATAAGGTTAATACACTTACAGTGTTTACAGTTCGGTAAGGAATGATACTGACTATTTGTGGTTTTCAAGCCTGTTCAATAGATATTATTGGAATGAAATTCGATCGATTAAAAATAAATAAATTAGGTAATAAAATAAGATTTTATAATAATAATAAAAAAAAACAGTTCACATAAAGTTTTTTTATGCTGGAATCGTGTTAATATTTATTATGATATAAAGTGAACGATATTAGACCACGGATAATTCATAATTGATAAAATATAATAACTTTTCAATTTTGTATACTTTCAAATTTCAAACAATTAAAAAAATGCATTGATTCTAGTTAATCCATACATCGCAATGGAATATTAATTATAAAATGCGGTTTTAAATACTAAGACAATACTTACAGGCCACATTTATTACGTTCGTTGATTGTAATAAACATGAAAATAGATTCTTTGAAAACATTGACAATCCCAAACAAGTGTGAACATTTAAAAATTAAATTTAAAATCTTTTTAAAACGGTTCATTTTCGAACGACGCTCGACGTTACACTACCAATGCTGTAGAAACACTGACTACCTTTAAGTTAAATAACATTAAAACTATTCGGGTGTAAAGAAGATTTCTCTAGAGTCTGTTCATCGGAAAATTATGTAATTATGTATAAAAAAAATGACGAGCCTCTCAACCCGAAGCAAAACTAATCCGCGAGATGAACATTAGTCATTACTTCTGGGATTATACATTTTGCGGTGATAGAACTCGAGCTAACACAAATTATCAAAAAGGAAAACAACTAAATCATCTGAAAAGTTGTATAAGGCGTTCAATTTCACCATGGTAAGCCCTAAAATATGTCTTTTTCACAACATAGTAGTTGCAGGTACTACAGACTGCTAAGTACGACTAACGCTAAATGTCAATTGGTTCAGTTTTCATAAAAAAACTCAAAAACTTATTTAACAGACTATATATGAATCAATAAATTTGGGACTGAGGCAAAACGGTCTTTGACCCGTCGCAGATGACAATATAATATAATATTCTAAAACGTTCGTCCATAGATATCAGACAAAAATAAGTGGGTATACCATCTCAAGCTGAAGTGCTTGACTTGGCCAAATTAAAATAGGGGGACTCTGTTTACTTTTAAAATATATTATTACATAGGTATAATAGTTTATAGATCCGCAGTCATGAAATAATCCATTAGAAAAATTATAATGGCACATAGCACATTTTGATAAAAATGCATCATGATGATGAAGCGTTCCGTGCGATCCCCTTAAAAAGAAATGCGAACATTTCTGAAAAATTAGTTAGGGTAGCCCACCCCCCAAGTCAAGCACCGATCCTGAGAAAAACCAGAACGATTAAGTCGGTGGTTTCTAGATGGAATTCAGTAAAATGTATAATATAATGAAAGCCTATAATAATAATATAACGCCAAACGCTTTACGATAGTAAGAATAATGGCAAATTATATTATTTAGATATAGAACATAGAAATTATGACTATATTTTTTCGAATTTCTATAAAGTCATATTATATTATTATAAATCCCGATTAACTACAGCTTTATTTTTAATGTCATATTGTTACAACAGTAACAATATGGCACGCATCCTTTTCGTTTCATTCTAATAAACACCAAAACACCGAAAAACCTATACCTATATATATTATATATGTAGGTATATCATTAGCCTGCCTATTTCAGTTTTAAAATCACAAAACTGTCTTTTTTAAATTGATATAATTATTTTTCTTGTAATGAACAGCGGGAGTAAACGATCCGTAAAATATACAGGTATCTGCTGACATAAATGCATCGTCTTAAAAATTAAAATACAACCAATTCGAAATGTTATGTCTATGGAATTAGTACAACAGCGTTTTGAAAATAAAAAATTATTTTTGTTAAAGAGTAATTTATTTGAAAATATTATTATTGACCTATAGTTAACCTATGGGTATACAATTATGATATTTTGTGTTTATATTACTAACCGATACCTAAATACAATTTTTCAATTGTGTTGAAACGTCATTACTCATAATTCGTAGACGTGTTATTTGACTAATATAATATCTACCTAATACCTATAACAAAGACCTTTGTCCTGTACGGGTTCATGTAACATTGGAGAATCAGAAAATATACAGTCGTGTGGTAGTATGCAAATACAAACAAATTAAATTAAAACGAATACTTAACGATGCATGGACGCATGGTCATTGGTCATATTATTATAATAATTATAACAATTTTATCGATTATTTTAAAAATAATGTAGGTAGGTGATAATTGTTAAATTTAACTCAAGACCACATAACATTCTTATACGCCCAATTGTCCAATAGTTTATTGTAATACAAATGTATATGGGTATGCGTATGAATGTATGACAATATTAATATTATTAACGATGCGCAAAAGTTGTAATAGCTGTGGTCTGTTTATATTTTATTTTTATGTATTTTCATGCGATGAACTTTTTCTACAACTCTTAAATTGTGCCAATCTATAATAGTACTTATAATAAAACGGTTCGCACGGTGGCAGCTGTGTGCCTGTGTATACAAATAGTATGGTATTATAATATCATTGTGTTTTAGACTGTACATTCTTCAAGTCGGTTCTCAGAAAATTTTATGGACTAGAACAATGACCATTAGCGGCAATTGAGAATATTGAGCGAAATGTATACAATATCGTACACCGATAACAGTAATAAATACGCGTCTGCTCTACGTGAAGATGAGTGTGGGTATATTTTACGGAAAGTCGGTATTGTTCCGGACCTGTGGATTCGAGGTGCGCGCCTGGGCCGCGTCGCCGTCCGTCGTACGGAACCGTTTTACTAAGTCCACGAGCGGTCGACCATAACCGGACATCGCGATGATGTCTGAGTGTTTTTTTTTCATTCCGACACACTATACCTTTGTCTACACCCCACCTATGATGATGATCATCATCATCCTTGTAATCATCTTTATTATTACTACTAAAGGGTTCCCAAAAAAACAGGAAAACAAAAATGTCCGTCGCCCTATATAAAACATTCAGCGGTGACTTGGCAAGTGAATATTATTAAAATCTGATCCGTTTTATTGTACTTTAATAATATTATGTTATTTAAGATGTGCTGGATTAACCATTAAGCAGTTATATAAGACACTGTGCCTATTACCTAGGACCTACAAGATAGCACAGTTCTTTCGACTAACAATACTATAAAGCCGCCAAAAGACTTGTGCAATAAAAAAAAAAAACATTACAAAGCAGTAGAAAAAATACAAGCATTTCAGTTTAAGTTTAATATTTTTCACATTTTATATTTCCCAATATGTCTTGAAAGTTGGGGCAGACAAGTGTGCAATTGATTATTTAAAGACTACGGATGATTTAATCTGACCCTATAGTTATACGAATAATATTTATTAGGAGTATTCAGGTGTCGGGACATTATTGTAAACATTACTGTGTAGCAACACCATTAAGCACTGTCTTTGTCTTTTCCTCGACTTAACTGACTTCCCCCGATTATTACCAGAAGAATATTTATAATACGGATGGCATCTATAAATTATAATACATCATAACATTACGACAACACGTCATTCGGAGATGGGTTTCGTTTTCTCTGGCTAATAATCGTTGCACACATTCGACGGGACATTGACGACATGCAACCGTGCGGCTGTGTCTCTTTTTTACACAATAAAAATGTATAATGTCGCTGGAAATATATTAGCGTATTGTGTGAATTGGTGGCATCGCGCGACAGCCCGAGGAGTTCAATCAACTTGTACACGAAGCGCGGGCATTGTGTATTGCCGAGCATTCCGTTGCCCGCCGCCGGTCTAAATTTCGTTTATATACACATACCTTTATCATATATATAACATATGTGTGTGTATCATTTTAATACACAGTAACCGCCGGCCCGGCCATCATTGTGTCCGCAAATCAAATTTGTTCCACATATACACACGTCTGAAGCCCCCGCCTCGTACAGAATTCGATGACATTGGCCGGCGTATATTATATACTCGACTGACGACTATATATTATATTATTATCGCCACGGTCAATGAAAACTCGCGATGTCAATGAATCCTGTCTATTATACTCTATGCACTATGCAGTACACCGCCTCATAATAGTCTTGTATAGTTGTATGTGTATAAATATAATATTATACGGACCCAGCTAACACCTATCATCGTTAAAACGCGCACGCACACGCGCTAGCTATATAGCTGATATACGAATATACGATAATGATGTGTTGCACAAAAAATACAGACAAACGCCTCACGTAAAAACCAAAATAATAATTATTATAATATGATAGTTAACATAATATGACGAATAGAAGTCGTATCTACATAATAATATTACGATATATTTAATATATTATTATCATCGGAGTGTAGGTACCTAAATTTTGGGTGATGGCCGCGTTTCCTGCGGACGCCGGCAATTGAAGCACCATGACTCCTGCTGCTTCTGACCACCATGTGCACATCGTCCTGCTGTCGGTACGCAGGTTTCTTTTGCACACTACACCCGAGACCGAACATCGTTGCGACTATTATTTTGACGACGAAACCATGACCATATTCTAACGGAATTTTGTATTATTTTATGTAGCCATTGGAGAACGACGGGGAAGATCCTTTTGCTGCCATTCGCTGCCGATGCGAGGATTTTAAATTCACGTAACTATCTCGGGAAATCACTGGTTCTAAGAGGGAAAAAAAACACCACTGCGGCGACCGAAACGAGACGAACAACTGCTGTAATAATAGTATAAAAGACGGGTAACCGACGATGACTGTGGTAGGTATACGATAATATTCTTAACTACAATATTAATACAACCAATTAAAAACTAATCAAAATCAACGGGATTTCACGATATACTGGGTAACTAAAAATTAATTTAAAACAAACAAGTGGTACTGGTGGTATGGAGAGCGAAGAAAGAATAGAGAAGCGTGTAACGTCCACCACCACGACGACGCTCGTCGTGTTGAAGGAAAGGTTGTTGCACGTCTCTCGGCGCGATTGTCACTGGCCGCGCACGCCGCCGCCGTCCGCTTGAGAAAACCGTTCTTCCACGTACCTACCCATCGCAGTACCAATACACTAGCGCTACGTCGCTCCATGTACCGTTTGTTGGAGTTTTTGTTTCTTTTTCTTCTTTTTTTTAGGTAGCTCACGACAACGGCGTGTGTGTATGTGTGTGTGTGTGTGTGTGTGTGTAATTACGCAGGTCTTTCAAAATCGCACCAGACTTACGTAGCCTTGTTTAATCATTGTCCTCCAGGTGAACGTTCGTTGAATCGTCTACATAGGCTATATTTTAATATCATGCCCGGCTGTAATCTAGCGACGTGTGGGCGATGAACGATCAACCCCACCGGAGGCGAAATAGCAAATATACTCGCGATTATAATATCATATTATTATTGTATTAGTATTAGGTATACTTATGTGTTCATGCGCAATAAACGTCGTGTGCAGTTCATTAACCTTTATAATATATAAGTCAGTGAACAATTAATACAATAAGACTTATAGGCTGAGAAATAACTCAGTACTTGCCAAAATGCCAAAGTTAAAATAATTTTCCGATAACTGGTGGAGGGGTGTAAATGACAATAATAATATTATGGTTAATGGTGGTATTTGCCACCGCCCACAGTTTCCAATCTTCGCCGCCGTCGCTTAAATCTCTCGTGCTACAAGATTTGGAACTTTCTCCCAAAAACTGGTATGACCGGTCAAACGAAATTATGTTTACAAAACGCATGTTCATAAAAAAACAACTCATCTTTCTCGAAATTTCTCGAGTACCTATACTGTTTGATCTAAATGTTCTGCAAATTTATCATTTTATTACCTAAACTTGTCCACCTGGCTTACAGGATAACAGAGTTCAGTATAGACTGCGCGCATATAGGTAGTTTAAACGATATATTTTTCTATTGTGAAATATGAATACCGTCAACCGCCTGCAGCCACCTAGCGAGAATTACGCACGAAAGACGAATTAAGAACAATAATCACTAAAATAAAAAATAAATCAGAGACCTCCCAAGTGGTGCAACAATCAATTATAATATTAACATACAATATGTTCGTTTAAATTTCAAAAATTCCTTCACCGCATTTAAATCTCTATATAGCTCTCCAATTATATGATTTGGTATTTACTATCACTTTTATCTTGATACATTCATTAGTATACATCATAATATTATAATATATAATATATTATTGGTTATACATTCGTATTATTTTATACTATATTTATTTATAAATCGTACTTTATATAATGATTTAAAACCACTTGGGTTCCTAAAGATTGTTTAATGTATAAATTACAATATTAATGTGAATTGGTTACATACTCATAATCTGAGCGGTGCCAATTGCCAAACTCTATTTTTAGTTGACTTTTTTTTCATATATGATCGGGGTACGAACGGCTATTGTTTTTCCTTCAAACCAGAATGGCCAAACATGTATTATTACTTAATGAAAATATATATTTGGTTGACTCTATGCTGGAACCACGTGATAAAATCGTTCATCTAGTTAACACTAGAAGCAATATAATGTAACGTTATAATATCGCATGGCATTAGCTGATTTTCTATAGTACATACGCTGATACTCATACATAATATAATAGGTACCTATATACTTTTTACCCGAAGACGGGTCGTTGCACCGACCAAGTGGTCATTGTCATAGTTATAGGGCTCCTCATCACTGTATAGTGTCCCATTCAAGACATGCTCAGGTACATCGATGAATGGACTACAGAAGCCCCGGTATACTACGCGAATAACGGCAGCGATCGCAAACGTGGCACTTTGAATGAAAGACGAAGATTATATGCACGTGGAAACGTTATAACTTAAATACTTTCTTCGTATGTGTGTTTAATATATATATATATATATATATAAACAGCATGTATAGATATTCATTATGTATTTTATAGAATGGTATATGTGTGCATGTGTGTCTTTTTGTTTGCGAACAATGTTTCAGCGATCGCCGTACCGTGGGACATTGCCTGAGCGCTTCTCGAGAAGCATTAAATATATATATATACACGCGAAAAGCAGTGTCGCCCAACAGCGGATGCGATGACGACCGCAAACTCGTTAAACGTATACATATAGTCATACACGGTACGTTTATAGTCACGGTCCACCGGCTGTATTATACGCATATACGTATAGTGTATACGTACCACTGCAGCAGAGATCGCATAACAAAATAAGCTATTCGCTATATACCGCGCCACTATGGCTGTCGATAACACAGCAGCATAATCAAAGGGGTTACATAAACTGATCGTTGTAAGTGACTAAATAATATAAGCCCACGGTACCTGAAAAATATGATACCTACATTTGATTCGTTCTCAAAGAAAATTATTGTAAAAAAAGTTCATTTATTTTCGTTCAACGAGCCTTTCATTTCAGCAAAAATTATTCATTTGAATGAATAATACTCGTAAATTGCATGAAAAATATATCTTAGGATAAGCAATATGCCAATAGGTACACCTTTCTATAAAGACTAATAAGTTAACTATAAGACTATAAGGTCGTTTGTACTAAAGGGTTCTAATCTCTCTCTATATATATATAATATACACATATACATACATGTATATATATATTATGTATATACAGTTAAAGTTTGGTGTTCAGGGGAAAACAAATTCGAGTTATTAAAAATGACGATACATAAAAAATCAATTAGGTGTATATATATTATATAATATTTAGAATTTGAAGGAGATTTTTTATGGGTATTTGAGATGAATTAAGGTTTGATTTACTGGGAGTCGATTGTATAGGTAAATACTATTAAATATCACCAAAATCAAAAGAAAGCAGCTATTTATAGTACATGTATATCGTACTATAAAATATTTATGAATAAGGACAAAGATGATATTTATTTATTTAATCACACCTAATTGTTCGACCTTCACCAGTAGTATATTCTAGGGACTCAAAATAATGACATTTATGTGGTACCTATAGTCGATCGTATTATAAAATTATTATAGCTATTAACGTGTTATTAAGCATACAAATATGCATAAAAATGGATCTCCAGAAATTAGTTGGACTTCTTTTTGCCCATTTACATCAAACCGTTATTGTGTCCTGTTGTGTGGCAAAATTACTATAGTATCCCGGAATTATATTATATTACTGTGGTCCACAAAAAAAAAATCCCGGTCTGCTAATTTTACATGGTAATAAAATAATGCACAGTTTTACGATATTTTTCCTCCGAAGAAATAATTAATATTTGAATATACTAGGCACATGTTTAACCGGAACGCCTAAAGTCTCCTAGCCGTAGTCGTATGTTTATCGTGTTATTATAGTTATTATAGGTACTTATTACACTGACGGACACCAGCATCCGTTCCATCTGGAGCAAACGAACTGTTTCGAATTTCAATCACACATTTCGGTTAAAGATTTTCGAAATGAGATAATATAATAATATATTAATACGTGTATATAAACCAAGTGTCGAGATACTTTTATTAGTGGTGCTAATTTAATAAATTCTTTTACAATTTTGTTACCGTTATATAAATTTCCAGAATCACCTACTTTGTTTTTGGATTTGAGTAATAATTATAGCAATAATTTGTAAATCAGTACCTATTATTTTTATTATTTAAGTTTTTATTTTTCTATTAATCCTTATAAGATTCACAGTAATTCCCACGATTGTAATGAAGGACAAACAATGCATAAAAATGTATTATAAGAAAACTCTCCAACGGTAACCGCTTTTAAAAACTTAAGCAAATAATGTGTCAACATATTAAATATTATTTAATTATTATGTGGTTCATGAACGATCTCATAAAAAAATATTATTACCTTGCAGTTTTGCAAAACTTCAACAAGATTTAAACGCGTCAGCGTTCATTTCATAGTGTTGTAGACGAACGATTATATTTGATTTATATTTTATATCGTAATAAATATGTTAATAGGATTTTACATTTACATTTATTTGATTACAGTAAAGTCGTGTGATTCGATAAACAAGAATAATATATGTCATCGCATATTCCGATATTCTCATGTAATATTATTTATGTATATATTTTATACATACGCGTTATACCCTCAGTCGTTCTTATGAATTTTAGTTATAGGTTATAGGTATATATGTACTGATATACGCAATGGACAAGCACTAAGCACACATACCATATGGAATTCAAATAGGTTGACAAAAATGGTATCGTGTAGATATAACAAATTATTATGTATGCTTTTATAATAAGTAGTTACAAGGACCAATAGTTAGCAGAAATTGTTTACACTCTATTTCACAAAACTGTGTAGTCGCATCTTTGAATAAATCAACAAGTATATAAGTAATAATAAGTAGCTGAGGTAAAAATTGAAAAAAAAATAGAAATTTATAGGTATAGGTAAGTTTGCGCTTTTATAGCATGTTAATAAATTACATTATAGATAAGTAGGTAACCTACTCGAATAATGGAAAAAAT